TTTTTTTTTTTTTTTTTTTTTTTTTTTTTTTGGGCAAACGACAGGGATGGAGTATTGGTGGGCTGGGTGGAACCCTCGGAAACCACCAACCAAAAACATAAACGAATGGTGAACCCAACCTTCTTGATTCGTTGCCCATCAGTATTGCATTTACCGTTGATGCTCAGTTGGCGACGTCGTCCGACAGCCGACGGTGATGCACTGAATGCAGCAGCTACTGTTGCTGCTGCTGCTGCTGCAGCAGCCGTCGATGACGTTTTGGCCAACATTGGAGTTGATGACATATAGCCTATTTTCGATTGATCTTTCATCCTGCAACAATGTCACTGATTAAATATCGGCAACAAGAAATTTGTGCTTTTTTTTTTTTTTCCTTCACATATAAAACTTGCTTCTATTGTTGTAGTTACATTTAGCACCACCCATTACAATTTTGCATTAGCCCTATCTAAAGAGTTCACCAAAGCTGTTTTTTTTTCCTTTTCTTCCTCCTTTTTTATTGCTTTTGTCACAAAACGTCACTTTTTAAAGTCATAACTGCTCAAATAAATTATATCGTCATCATCATCGTCATCATCATCATCATAATTACCATCATAGTTATCATTAAAACCTTTCTGCAGCTTTGTTGAAGTATATTAGCAAGAGGAATAACAAAGAAAAAGGACAACTTATTGTTTCCTTATCACAATATTCGTCAAAAGTGCAAACACGGTTTATAGACTACAATTTTTTTTTTGACTCTTCCTAGACAAAAAAGAAAAACAATTAATAATTAAAAATAATTATTTATGCTTACATACATCAGCTAATAAAGCACCGTAGTAATAAAGCCAATAACAAAATTTCTGTTTTGGTTTTGATCAATTCAGTCACGGAACAGCAATGGAAAAAACAAAAAAACAGAAAGCTTAGGCCAAAAAAAAAAAAGAAACGATGAAATCAGAGGAGTGGGAAGAAAACAGTAGAAGGATGGAAGTGGAAAAAAAAAGTTTTGCAAGTTGAGGTGAAG